GTGACTGTGATTTCTGAGCTTCCTAATCCTCTGTGGGATGAGGAGCTGATACTTCCTGTGGGATTATACGGCGTCTTTGAAAATCCCTGCGCTCCACTGTCACAGGGCGACGGAGAACGTCTCACTTTGAAGACGACGTTCTCCGCTTCTGGGACAAGTTGCTGTTCTAAGCTGTTCTTTCAGCCGCCTGAAGGAGGCAGCGCACGTGTGTGTAACTGGTGTTTAACAGTAACGAAGTGACTCCTCGTTGCCCTAATTGCCCCACCACAGATGACAGACCTGAGGTAACGTCTCAGTCCAACCAACAGAACCGTTCTCTAACCCTCCCTCCACCGAGCCTCCAGTTATCCACTGCACCACCGCGCTCCTCCAGAGTGAACTTCATTGTTCTTTAAACCTGCAGTGTCAGCAGATCTGGTGACTTGACCTCAGGTCTGGACCGACGTCACAGCTGAGAGGTCAGAGGTCAGAGTTGGACTGGTGTCACAGAAACCAGAAGTCCAGACCTCTGGGGTTAAAAAAGGAAACAGGAAACAGGAAATACGGGGGCGTTCCTCCGTCAACAGGAGGCGCTCAAACAGAGTAAAGAGCAATAAAATACTGCAAGAGTTCAAACCTAACATTTCCACAAAAGTCGGTCTGAAAGTAGAACGCGGGGCGGTGGAGGAGGAGCCTGACTCCTGGTCCAGAGCGTGGAGCGACGGAGTCAAACCACACAAAACAAAAATGAAATGAAATGAAGAGGAGTCCTGGGTTCTCCGTTCTCCGTTCTCCGTTCTCCGTTGTTTCATGTGCGGCCCCTCCTTTTCTCTTCCACGGCCCTGCATTGTTGATCAAGGTTCTCTCCTCATCCTCTGCTCCGGAGGAGAAGCCGTCGTCTCCGTATCTGATGTTCCTTCAATGCTTCACACTCTTCTTTTATTCTGCAGCTCAGATCAAAAGGCCGAGCGAGGATTTCTTTAAAAAGAATTATTAAAAAAAAGAGAAAAGAAAAGAGAAGAGAAGAAGACGGAGCGGAGGATGGAGACGCAGGAGGATGGAGACGCAGGAGGTGGAGATGGAGGAGGTGGAGACGGAGGAGGTGTCGGCCTGAACAGAGGAGATATTCATGCAGCTCTGCTGAGACGAGGAGGCAGGAGGAGAACAGTCCTCCTCCTCTGTGACTGTGAAGCAGAGATTAACACCTGAGTGCAAACATTCAGCCAAAGACAAAACGGCCTGCAGGGGGCGGTAGTGTAGCTTAAAGTTTAGGATCTGAAGAAGAAGAAGGAATTAGCTTAGCTTAGCTTTGGAGGTCCTTTAAAGGGTGAGGGGGGGGGGGGGTAGGTGGGTGAGGAGGGGGTTAAACCC